ATTAATGGAATTAAATAATGCTAAGGTAGATTACGTAATAATAATTAAATAGAATTTGGAAAGTTAAGATAATTTAAGAGGATCAGGTGGTGGAAATGTGTGAATAAAATTTATTTTAAGAATTAGGTAATAGGGGGGGGAGTATAAAATATCTTAGAATAAGTAAATGAATAAAATAACCAAAACACAAAACAAACAGAAACAAAAAGATTACCAGGGTAGTGATAAGTTTATTAAAGTCTCTTTTTGAATGCATAAATCCGGTTTCAGTTTCTTAATTGCAATGGCTTCAGCAAAGCGGAGAGTGGTAGTAATTCTTTGTCTATTGATAATTTTAAACGCGTGCAGAATATCGACGGTATGCCCGGTGTCAAGTAGATGCCGAGCTATTGCACTGTTAAAAGCTTTAGTCCCTCGCAGCGTCAAGTTCTTCGGAATATGCTCAGAAATGCGAACCTGTACTCTTCTCTCAATTCTTCCAATGTAAGTGCTACGGCACGTACATGTGAATTGGTAAATGCAGTTGTTTTTAAAAAAGTTGAAAAACATGATTCAAATTAATTTCTTTTGTATATCAAAATAACTTATCTATTAGGTAATTAGTTCATTGAATATCAAGTTATAACTTCATGAATTTAACACATATTAACCTATAAAGTACATTACAATGTTTGGTATAACATAAAATATTATGGACAATGAAAAAAAGAAAAACTATGGGAAAAAGTAGAAATACTCAAGAAAATAACTTATAAATGATTGAAAATTTTTTTTCTTATGTTAAGGACTCACTTCTGGAAGTTAATTTTCGTAAATTAAGTAGAAATTGATTTGAAAAAATTTATCTCTTTCAAATTTATCACACCAAAACACTTTATTAAAAGATTTATTTTTTCACTATGGATACTCTATATTGTTTAAATAAAAAAATTTTTATTTCAATTACGGATAGTGTTGAGATTAATTGACTTATTTTAACTAATTCTATACATCACAATTGATTGATCACTGGGTGGTGATCAATGTCATATGTGTCAAGTCTTTCTTAGTGCAGGTCGAATGCTATCGACCAAGTTGCAATGTGGTCCTACAGGAGGTTAGTCGCTGCCCGGATAGCCCAGTGGTAACATCTCTGACTGTGAAGCTGAGTGAAACGGGATCCAATCCGTCAGGGAGCACCAGTTTCCTCAAGATTACAGGTACACTTTACTGACGAGTGCCAAGTAGCACGAAACCCAAGTACAGGGTTTCCTGTTGACTATCTCCAACCACCATCTAATTCTATACATATATACATATTAAACGCAAATATGGTTTATATCATAAAGCTAACTTGTTACGTCATATGATATTATTAACTTTAGCCATGTGAAAGTAAGATAACACTTAGAAAATCATAAGTCACAAATTCAGATATTATACTTCAATTGGCATAAAATTTATACCAGACATTTATAATTAACTGTAATAATGTAAAAATACATTTTAATAATTTATACATAATCGTTTTAAAATATAGTGAAATTTGAATATAACTAGTGTGAGTTTAGTGTGGTATAATTCATTTGAAAAAGTACAATTTTTGCGACAAGATAATCAACTGAGTAGGTTTTCTAATAAAGCTTCGTGTATTTTAAAACTGATATTAACAAAAGGATAGTTAAAAACTATGAAGCGTTAAAGAGCTTTTTCATCCTTATTTTAAACTTATCCACTTTTTCAACCATATTTGAAATCTAAGGAAAAAAGATCTATAAAAACTGAAGAATCAGACACTTTGGAAACTAATAAGTAGCTATTTCTTCATTGCTTTCGGTTGCTCCATAGATGTTTTTAGTATATTAGCGATAGCGACAAAATCCAGTGAAAGAGTCGGAATACAGTGGCCGACGACTTCATTTGTTTTGCATTACAAAGTTCGTAATCACCTTACATAGCTTTGTCGTGTATCCGAGTGAATCCGCAATAAAGATAACACGAAAATTAATGCCAAAATAATTACTTGCGAAAACTCATTCTCAAAACTTCATTGATTTACAAAACAATTTTTAATTCGGAGTGCAGTTATTTACTTTGATGGTTTTTATTTTCTTTAATGTTTTGCAATCGGTACTTTGCTACTTGTCAAGCAAGGATAAAACTATTACTCTTTTACGCTGTTAGGGAAAGAAGCAAACATGTGATTCATTTTATCATTAACCATAGCTAGTTGTAACATCTCATCTTTATCTGAAAATTGATTTCATACAATAAATGACTGGGTAGGTAACCAAAGTTGAGTGTTAGTCAGTAAGGTAAATGAGTTTTTGTTATCCATTCTTTCTGAACTAGACGGTTTAAATGCAAGTCATTCATTCCCGTTCCGGATATTATTAATGTCTGCTTCATGTAAAGCTAAGCTTACTAGTTCTTCTACAAGCGTAAAATAAGCTCGTTCTGGTAGATTTATCCATGATTGGTTGTAATTTGTCCTTTTCCATGTAACGACGCTTATGCACATAAAACATGATAGACACTTTATCAGATTTACGATCGTATTGTAAAGTGATATGATAGACTGATACAATCTTATTTGTTAGATTGTATGTATTCATTTATATTTAATCCTGACTTTTTATCATGCGCATTTTTACAAACGCATGCTTGTCTATCTCGATTTAAAATTTTTTTTATCTATTTTCATGTAAGTTAACTAACTCTCTGGGCTCAGAAACACCATCTTAACCGTCTTTTGATGAGCAATGGTCAAAGACCACATAATGTTCATCTATTCAGTCTTACCGTACCTGGTAAGTCGCATATTTGAAATAAACATGACGAAACACAATTATATCCGAAGTTTATATTTACGTTTCAGAATTGTGATATTTCGCAAGAATATAGATATTTCATTGACTGTCACTTCTAGAATTAAATGGCTTTTAAAAAGTGATTAACCTTTTGGCTACGAAACATTCAATTTGACTTAAGACAATGTTCTTTGTTCCTGTAACATTTGGTAACCGGTTGATATATTATAAACAGGACTATCTGGTATTAGAACTCTAATTTATACAAACCTCAAACATTTTCTGTTGTGAATGGAAGATAATCTTCATTTACCTCTCTATAACTGCATCTACCAGTCTATGTTGAATACCTTTTATTAGCCATAACTACTCAATTCAAATATGTGAGGACACATTCCAGCTTGGTTTTAAAAGGGTAGTAGATAGTCTGTTAGGAACCCTATTCTTGAACAATAAACTAATTTCGATCCCGCAGCAGACACCCATTTTAAAGTTAACGAATCTGTCCAACTCTTTAAGACAATATCAATTTTATCTGTGACATGACACTTGGAGTCTGCATACGAAATGCATATTCCATATTTTATAATTATTATTTTCATATATATATACCTTTCCACCCCACAAAAATCTCTGTAGTAGATACCAACCAAATGAGATTGATAGTGAACAAATAGTAACTGATAAGGATCTATACAGATGTATTAAAATGTGTGAACCCTTCAATTCATATTTCAAATTAAAACCTACTATTTAACGTTGTAATGTTAAAAACAACAGTATCAAGAACTGAATGACGCGTATTCAATTTTGAGACGCAGTGATTCAAATACCGTACTTTCAATCAGAGTTAATGTTTTATTTAATCAACACATTAAGTGAAAAGCAACTGTTATAGCATTGGTAAATAGCCATTTCGATTTCAAAAAGCATGTGTACTATCAAGTCAGGTGCCGTAAAACATGCACCCTAAATGGTAAATTCTCAAGTGCACTTAAAAGGCGTACACGTACAAGCACTCCATGTATCACAGTCATTTGAAGCAGAGAATAAAACTATAATTCTTTTGTCTTTTCAATAATTGGGAGATGAGTCGAGTTATTGAGACTATGGTGTGTGATCCGGTGAAGAGCATTTGCGCTGCATTCATCCGTTAGGTTAATATGTTAATTTGTGTAATAACAACCGGATCATCACGAAGTTCGATTATTTTAAGATTTGAAATCATTTCATATAGTAGTAGTATTATGGATGCTTGTATTACCCAGCTAAAAACGAATATTCACCTTAAAATTGAGACTAAGAAATACTTAACTGAAACAAAACAGCTCTAAACCATGTTTTTAATCATATTTCGTAAAATTATTTACACTCATTAACGCTCAAAAAATCTAATAACCGGGACCACTAGAAATTTACGTCAATATCGTAGTTGTTTCAGGCAAATAAACTTTCTAGATTAGTGTAAATTATCCATTTAGGAAGCCTGTTATCATACAGCTTCAAACAGACTACAAAAATGTTACTAATGTGTAAAATATCAACAATAATACACAAACTGATCGTTGCAGATATCATTCAATGAATTCCTAAAAATAGAAAGGAAAACTAAGCAACAAGTTGGTCTATAAATGTAAACTGAAGAGATGGTATCGTTAAGACTATATTGGAATTTTACTATCATATGCGAAAGCTCATAGATAGATGACTACCTTGTGGGAAAAACGAAGACGAGAATAAAACGAATAAAGTAATAGATTAAAGAATGTGCATGGACACAAGGATGGGGGAAAATGACGAAAAACAGAAGTAATCAACTAACTTGAGAAGAAATAACAAAAAACATGATACAAACTTTAATATCAATGTACTTATATAAGAACAGATTAGTCTACAGACAAGGCAAAGTTGACAATAGAAGTATTTAAACACTCTGAAAATGTTTTGAACAACAGTGAAGTAGATCAATGTATACACTGTCATAAGAGTTAACTTTCTTTTTACATAACTAATATGAAGTAATAATTAAAAAGCAAAAAACATTACTAATAAAAGCAGAATGAATATAGATGGGAATGCTGATGAACTACGAGGATCCCTACTGTTGTCGCTATTATTGAATGCACTAACGTGTTTATTTTTATATACACAAGCATGAATGGAAGACAGTAAACAAAGTCCACTATTGAATCATACAACAAAGTAGTAGACCTATTGAAATATAAATCCAGATTTCGGTGATACTGTACTAGCAGATTCTGCAGCAGTTGCCTCTGAAGATGAATGTGTGGAACCAAAAAAGTCGTAAAACCCACTCCCACCACTACCAGACGAGCTTCCTGGACTTGATGATTGATCGTTTTGTGGATTTGGTACAGCGTCTGGCGGAGCTTCTGAAACAAAACAGTTAATTAGCATTGATTAATTAAGGAAACTAAGACTTTTTATAAATGCAAAATTTTACAAGTTTGATTCTGGGAATCAAAGGTTTTTAAATACAATTAGTAACTCAGTGGTACACAAAAAAATAATCTCCCTCAGTTATATAGATCTTATGTATGTGTTGTTACTAATTATAAATACCATATGATACTGAAAGATGTGTGGATTGTAAACACAACCACTCTTTCCCAAATGTTTAGATGTGAAGTTAAAGACCAAGCTACAAAACAAGAGTATGCTGTATAAGAGTAGTATAAAATATTTTTTAAACTTGGATGTAACATGTATCTAATGAAAATTATCTAATAAAAATAGAAACTCAACAACACTGAGCAAACAGATCGTAGTGATAATATTTGCAAACTCACACAAGATTAAGAAATAAAACGGAGTACCTAAGTTTAGAATGGGTGAATTCCACCGATAATAATAATAATAAATTAACTAATTGATAGCAGTAATAGTAACGATGGGAACAATGAAGATACAAAAATGATGTGAATTTGTATATAAATCCATTCTGTCGACTAATGGGTCAGGGTATTTTTAAATCATTAGACCAAAATGACTGGAATCATAAAAAGGATTTTCTTTTGAATTCAATCATCATCAGTATATATATCAGCTTTAGATACCTACATAAAGATTTGAGTAACATCATAATGATTATTATTAAAGCATATATACATATATATGTAGGGAAATATTTCCTCCGAAATTGTAAGATACAAACAAGCTTTTCTTAAAATTGAATGAAATAACTAATGAAAATAAATGTAGGGTAGATAACGGGTAAATATATTAGTGATGATGTTTTAGTAGGATGAAGTTAACTATTTAATCACCCAATATGTAGTATATCAGTCAAATTAATTCAGCTTTATTACTACCAATAAAACTCAATTAATTAACTCATATTTAGGTAAGAGGTACACTCTAAATGTGGGTGCTTATGATACTATCTGGTTGCCCAAATCGAAATACTTAGTGGAGCGGCGTCAAAACCTGGGAATGAGTGGCTGAAATCTGAGTGGATTAACTACTAAACCATAACTCCACTCAACCACTATTACTAATATTACTACTTCTGATATATACAGTGGATAATTTGCCTTTTCTTTTTTTCTTCAAAGAAACAAACAACAATAGCAGCAAAAGTTAACTACTTATAGTTGTAAATTTTCTAAAGATTTCTAGCAGCTGTTACTTTTTCGCCTTTTCTACATTGTGCTTATGTACAAAGTAAACATTTTAGAAAAAAGACAGAAAAAGTGGAGAGAAAGAAAATAAAAATATGTTGTACATGTCAACTGACTTGGAAATGTGGCAGGGGAACACATATTAATTTTCTAGTCGTTTTATTTTTAATCCTGTCTGCTGAACAACATGCTAATGATGAAAACGATGAACGGAAAGATAAAATAACTGGAAATGAGAAAACACAAAGCTAAGATACCTAACCACCACTATACTGCCATCCCAAAATTATATAGGGGAAAATATTCAAAAATGCCAACTTCACGAAGAAATTACAAAAGGAAAAAATTCAAAAGAATGATATAAAATTGAAAAAAACAGAAGTTATGAAGACTAATCTAGTAAGGCAATGTAAACTGAGGATTGACAGTGATTTATCATTCGATTTTGTAATAAAGATATCATTCATTTATTGAAGAGATTATGTAACATGTAGAATTTCGAGTATTCGCCTTTGAATCATATATACTACCTGATAGCTTGTCAAATCACAGGTGGGTAAGTACGGTGTATAAATCTGTTACACAATGATTAAAAATTTATAGAAATTACTAACTGAATCTAAATTAAGTTGTTTGTTTGAATTAATGAGCTATTACCCAACTCAGAAAAAGATTAATGAGAAATAAACATAAATTATGAGTTCAGAAATGTTGGTAAGTGTAGATTATCGGGTTGGGATTCGGGCGTGTCATGACCACTAGTTGGAGATGTTTAATAACATAAATTCGATTTGGTCTGAAATACGCCAATGTATTTACTCCTTGTCTTTACTTAGATCTTCATTTCAAAGATATACATACCTTTGACTCCTCAAATTAATTTGTTTTGCCTGAATAATTTTTTTCTATGCTTAATTTGTTCACTACATCTACTACTTCCAGTGCTTAGGTATTTAATTTAATAAATTCATCTCCTCGTAATAATGTAGTGGCATCTTGGACGATGTGCCCCCAAATGCCCTGGTACGGCCGAGAGTGGGGAGAGTCCGCTCTCCCTCTCGAAATGCTCTCACATGGTCACGCATGTATAGCCTCTGCCAGGGAAGTCCTACTCACTGCCTTCTCATGGCGGGGGTGTTGTTTACGAAAATGAGAGGACGAAAAGCGAATGTTCGGCGCTTTAACCGGATTCCAAACCAATGGTGCACATGGGCTCCAGTATCCTGCGGGAACAAATGGCGAATGAACCAATTGTTGCTCTACTGCCTTGTGGATCAGACCTTCAGGTCGAAGGCTCGGGGTGTGGCCCCCTAAGAAAACCACCTGCTTCGGTTTGGGCACCCGAGCAGTATCACAGCCCTCACACATATCGAATGAGATTTGTGTGGCGCATATGTATTTGGTGCCTCTTTGTACCATTATCTATGTGTTGAAATAAATAAATAATCTTGGACGATGTACGTGTCAGATGCTTGCAACTGACTGGTGTATGACATAAACACCTGAGTCTTAAGTGATTATGAATACTCCTCATATGAGAAAATATCCCCGAGGATCGCAGATTCACTAGAACTAACAAAAAATTGCATGAGCTCAAGTGCAACTTACATTGAACGTGATCATAATTGTCTCTTTATAAAACGTATCACCATCATGTTGAAAAAAGATTTAAAATACTTGTCTTTAAAAGACACATAAAACTATAAAGTCACTCATTATCCAGATAGATCGAAAGCATACGTACAAACGTCCTATCGTATTTGTAGAAATCGTTAAATAATTATAATCTGTTGCACCGATGCACAGTGGTTTCATTCATATTCACTAGTAAGCTTATTACATTTGGGATCTTGAGGCGACTGATGGGATCCCCCTGCATACAGTAACTATTTCGAGGCCGAGATGTGAACTATGTGTTATGAATCCCCTTATTACGACTCACTCTTATTGTTTGGTAATCATGGACACTACTTCACTCAACAAGTCCTCAAAACAGAACACGGTCGAACAGGAACGTCATTATATTCCAAATAACAAGGCTGGATGGAAATAGAATCAGCATAAGAAAAACATTAATATATTTATAATATTTACACAATAACATTCTAGAGTCTTCTCCAAGTATCCACTGGCGCTAATTGATTAAGAAATAGCCAATCAAAGTTACCCACACAATCCTGTATGGAAAATGCTTTAATCCAATCTATACCCCGCTAACACTACGTCTTGTATGCATTCATACAAGTATATTTGTTAAGATTAAAAGAGAAACACGTTCTCATTTATATATTTACATATATATGGGTAGCAAACTTACGCATTAGCATAGGAGCGAATCTATTTATCATGATTCCAAGCCCCTCGATAATTGCCAATATAACACCACCAACAAATGCTTGACCGACCATAGCTGTTGGACCATGACGAACAGCTAGAGCGGCTCCGGTTATAGCTCCACTAGTGATTGAATTCCACGGATCCTCTTTCCGACGAGCAAGAACTAAAGAGCAATCGACAGCAGTAAACACTCCACCCCATATAGCGAACCCCCCACCCGTGATTGGTGCACGTTGACGACTGTTAACCATTGCGCTTACTAGTTTTTTTGTATAACCCGAAGGGGCGTTACGATAACCTCTGTAAAAATGTAAAACACTTCCACCGATAGTACCCATAGCAAATGCAGCTCCACAATCGCTGACGATACGAAACGGACTGAAAGAGATGTCAAATAAAGTATAAAATGAATATTATGCTTTTTAAATAATTGTTAAAACTATTATAATCACAGTAGAAATATGGGTAACAAATTAAGCAATATTACTTTCACAACATTAGATGAACAGTGTACGCAAATACTTATGCTACTGAACCTCTAACGCCATAAAGCTTCATCCAATTTATGAAATACTAACAACTCATTTACAGTGAAACTTTAGACAGAATACTAAGCATCAAGCGATTCTCGACAGAGAAATTTGTGAATAAATTTTTGACTTCATCCGAATCAACATGACGCGGAAAAATATGTAAAACTATTTTGGTTACTTAGAGTTATTTTAGTAGCGTAACAATCATCATAAACTGATTGAAATTAGACATGTACGCCATTGAAATCCGCTCAGTAACATGAAATATAAATGTTCACGCACAAAATCGCAAATCCAAGGTTTGACTTGTGGATGCATGGTCGCATATGTGCACCGTTGAGGAGCCTCATAATAGAACAAAAAGGCTACCCAAAGTTCCCGAATTTCAATAGTGCTTCAACTAAGATCAGTTCGTGATCTAAACTATGGAAAAAATACTTAAATAACAGATTACTGAATATCGATTTCGTACAGCAGTATGATCTACACTAACATCCCAAACGTGGTGAGTTTGAAAATATCAGTCGGTCGGCTACATTACAACGTATGACCAGACATATAAATGCATCGGTTCAAGTGATTAGACTCATTTACACTTTTATGAATACATGGTTAACTACGAATATATATTTATCCTGCTTCTACTAACTTGCATTGTGTTCGAAACACTGTTATCATTAAACAATGAAAAGAGTGCGTATATCTAATACGTGAGTAATAACTCAATTCACAAAAGTAAATTGCTTCTTTGGGCTAATGAATAGATAACCCCGATTGTTGCTGACACCTTGACGTGGTGGTCAGGCTTACCTATCGTCATGAAGCAATTGAGCTATACTGGCTAGAACAATCGTCTCTCGAGATCCAGCCATGTCAGACAGATCGGTTGAAAAGCGGTAAAACTAAACTCACCTAACCCAAGTCCGAAGGCAAAGTCGTACCGCAAACTGTACGGAAGTGTGACGGCTGTATGGTGTTTGCTTCAGACAACCAGCACAACAGCGATGCTGCCTTCCCGAAAAATACACACATCGCCTTGTCCCGCGGATATCCGTCTCCAGCAGAAAGGTCCCATAAATACGGAGCTAACATGAAAATGGCAGAATGTTCGGAATGCATTTCCCGTCCCCCCTCTAAATGCAAGTTGTTGCTTCAGGATTCAGTCAGTCAGTCAGCTACAACGTAGAACCAGGCACATATATGCATCGGTCCAGGTTGCCATATATCGTTAGCACAGCAAGATGAACACCGGATTCATGGGAGTGGTTAGGTTAAAGGTGGTAATATATAGGAGAAAGACTGCATATAAAGATACAGTACCAGAATATAGAATTAGTTCGTAGAAAGAAAGATATGATACGATTTTAATCTCTTAGTTTAAGGGAAGACAGGGAGTGTATGCACCGACGCCATTATGATCGATTCTGAGCCATGTCACCAAGAGTCTCCAACAATCGTTTACGAAAGTCACGCTGACCCCAACCAAGTAGTCTGCATCTACCAACATGGCTCAGACTAGAGGTTAGTGTCTTCAAGCACTGATGCCACGTTTTGGTTTGGCCGCCCCTAATTCTCTTCCAACCATCTCTAACACCCGTTAGCATTGCACTTCGTGGTATTCGGTGTTCAGGCATACGTGGCACGTGGCCCAACCATCTCAGTCGATGAAGATTCACAACCTCATCAACTGATTTACCATCACTACCTAATACCCAGCGCCTAACTTCACTATTACTTACCCGGTGATCCCAACAGACGCCAGTAATATTTCTAAGGCATCTGTGGTCAAATACTAGTAGCTTACGGGTGTCTTCTACTCTTGGTGGCCACGTTTCGCAGCCGTAAAGTAGAACAGAACGTGCAGTATACTCGTCATTAATTGGTAGACGGATATGTCGCCTTCGCCATAGGTAGCGCAAGATGGCAAAAGCCAAATGAGCTTACTGAATCCGTGCAGAGATTTTTGTCAGACACCAGCCCATTAGGGCTGATCAGACTTCCAAGATAAGCGAAGCTGTCGACGCGTTCGACTACTTCACTCCCTATCCTTAGTTCAGGTGTTGACGCAGATCAGTCCTGAAGCAACAACTTGCATTTAGAGGGAGAGAAGCGCATTCCAAACATTCTGGCATTGTTGCTTAGTGCTATCAAAAGACTCTGCATTTTATCAGCGTCTTCACCGAACAGGACTATATCAGGATTGATCTGCGTCAACACCCGTACTAAGGATAGGGAGTGAAATAGTTGAACGCGTCGACAGCTTCGCTTATCTTGGAAGTCTGATCAGCCCTAATGGGCTGGTGTCTGACAAAATCTCTGCACGGATTCAGAAAGCTCATTTGGCTTTTGCCATCTTGCGCTACCTATGGCGAAGGCGAGATATCCGTCTACCAATTACGGACGAGTATACTGCACGACAGTTCGTTCTGTTCTACTTTACAGCTGCGAAACGTGGCCACCAAGAGTAGAAGACATTCTAGTATTTGACCACAGATGTCTTAGAAATATGGCTCGCATCTGCCGGGATCATCGGGTAAGTAATAGTGAGGTTAGACGCAAGGTATTAGGGAATGATGGTATATCAGTTGATGAGGTTGTAAATCTTCATCAACTGAGATGGTTGGGCTACGTGCCATATATGCCTGAATACCGATTACCACGACGCGCAATGTGTTGGGGATGGTTGAAAGAATGTTAGGGGTGGCCAAACCAAAACGTGGCATCAGTCCTCGAAGTCACCAACTACTTATGTGAGCCATGTTGATAGATGCTGACTACTTGGTTGGAGTTCGTGTGACTATGGTAACCAATGGTTGGAGACTCTGGGTGACACGGCTCAGAATCGATCACAATGGCTTAGGTGTATACACTCTTTGTCATCCCTTAAACCGTGAGATTGAAATTGCTTTATATCTTTCTTTATACGAACTAATTCTTTCTTCCTGTACTATATCCTTGTACACAGTCCATTCTTTTATGCATTACTACCATTGGTGTGACTACTTTGAATTTGGTGTTCATCTTGTTGTGCTAATGAGATATGGCAAATTGGACCGATGCATATATGTGCCTGGTCCTACGTTGTGAACTACTTGGTGACTGAATTGGTTGATTTTAATAGCGTGCTGAAGGAACACTGTTATGTACCGTTACAGTGCTTTCTCCAGTTGTCCAGTGTTTCTTTGGCTTCAGTTTTATCTTGGCAACCACCAGCTTGTGGTGATCTGAAGCTATGTCAGCTCATCTCCTGGTTCTCATGCCTTCCATCGATCATTGGCCTTCCGAATTATTTAGTAATGCAAATATGATCGATCTGGTTCTGTGTAATGTGATTCGGTTAAACCCGTGTAGCATTGTGTGTATGTGTTTGTATGGGAATATTGTGTCACCCATAACCATCTTGTTGAATGCACATAAACTTGCGAGCCTGTCACCATTCTTGTTCCTTTCTCCCAGTCACTCCATGTTGTCCCATGTTATCTTGATGCCTGGTGTTGTTCATTCCAACATCGTGTTTAGATCTCCCATCAGGATGGTTAGGTTCTTCCTGGGACACTTTGCTATGATCGATTGCATCCTCGAGTAGAACTGATCTTCATCATCCTCATTTCTATCATTGTTGTGTGGATAACATTCCTTGTGATTCCCTGAAGTAGTAAAAGTAGCTGCTGACTTTAATGCTCAAGTAAGGTAAACCATGCCCCCAAATGCCCTGGTATGGCCGAAAGTGGGAAGAATCCGCTTTCCCTCTCGGAACGCTCTCACATAGTCACGCGTATACAGCCTCTGCCAGGGGAGTCCTACTCACTGCCTTCTCGTGTCGGGGGTGTTGTTTAAGAAAATGAGAGGATGAAAAGCGAATGACCGGCGCTTTAACCGGATCCCAAACCAATGGTGCACATGGGCTCCAGTATCCTGCGGGAACAAATGGCGTATGAACCAATTGTTGGTCACCGGCCTCCATGGGACCGCATCTTACGATGCTCCACTGCCTGGTGGATCAGACCTTCAGGTCGAAGGCTCGGGGAGTGGCCCCCTAATAAAGCTACCTGCTTTGGTTTGGGCACCCGGGCAGTATCACAGCCCCCACACATATCGACTGAGATTTGTGACGCATATATCTTTGGTGCCTCCTTGTACCAATATATATGTGTACCTGAAACGCACGATGTCCGAAGACTTCGTTAGAGCATCAAGTTAGGATGTCATCTAAAGACGCGTAGGTAAACTTGAAACCTTTTGTAACCACGAGAATAAATCTACTCTTATTACAGGATTAGTAATGTTAAATTTAGTGGATATATTTTATACTCTTCTTATCGTGGACGTTTGTGAAGTGGCGTCCATAATCGAAACCCAGTGTTACTTTTTGCTTAGTGCACATCAATGAGCTTTTGACGCTGTTGATTTTATACTTACGAGTGACAAGTGGTGAAAACCAATACAGAAAGAATAATCGATTCCAATTACCGATGACTTAACTGGACTAATAAAGCAACAAGGATTAATAGCAATTGATTAAAAAAATCGTACGAGATAGTTTTTAACAAACTCATATAATCCCAACAAGTAGAAAATACAAATCATTGGATAAGCTTTAATATATATATATATATATATATATATATATATATATATATCATGAAGTAAATATACGTAAACTGGAAAACAACTAATTCTAATCGTTATTATTATGCACTATGACAGTAGGCGAGACCTCAATATTCAAACAGGGAAAGCAAAAAATACATATTAAAAGTAGATCATCAAAAACCCTTACACACCAGGGATCTCTGCTGAACTCGTCCATGTCAAGGTCTCGTGATTGACTGTAGCGCGAGCAGTTATATCGTGCAGCTTGTTTAAGATGACCATAACAACTGCATGCAAGAAACTTCCAATAGTATCAAATTCAAATTGGACTCTCCAGCTGTGTTTTCGCAATTTTTGAGTATGATTCTTTGCATATTCTCTTTTTACCGAGGTTTTTCTAGGCTCTGGGGAAAACTATAGACCAGTTTCAGATTGGAAAGGACAGGGGGCTTGATAGCTTGTGTTAGTCCTGTGTATGATGTTCTCTAAGTTGATCCAAATTTCCTCTGAAAGATTCGATGGATGGGGCCTCAACCACGTGCTGAGGTAATGAGTCCCAGCTGATAAGTAATTTGTCCTGGGCTTGTGAACTTTTCTAATGTCCTCGTAAATTCTCTGTTTTTGAAGGAAAATAAAATGAGGGTATATCATGTGCAAATTTATCATTTTAGTTCCTCGATATGACAGCGGGACTAGGTTTAGCTTGGCCAGTAGAGCGTCATACGGGAGCTTGGCTATTCCGGGAATCAGCTTAGTTGCCGCTCCCCGAACCTTTTGCAAAATCTCACTGTCTTTTTTAAGCAGGGGCTGGCTGTATGCGGTACTCAAGTTTGCGACATACGAATAATGTGTACAAAGTCAAGGACGTTTTAGCTTCGACACCTCTAAAGGCTTTGTATATTGACCATAGAGTTCTAAAACCTTCGGTGGCTATCGCACGGTAGTGTGTAGTAGTTTATAAGTCCTGGCTAACGATGACTCCTAAGTTACTATGTTTCTGGAAAACAGGTAGCTAGATAATATTTATTGTGCACGTATCTGTACCTTGAAGACCATTATGCATCCATATCTTGACATCGTCAGCATATAGCAAGACTGATGATGATAGCAGACGGGGAAGGACATTTACATACAAGTGGAATAACACTGTCCACAAAACTGCATACTGAGGCACTCTGATAAGCATAGTTTCTTAGCTAGACAACTTGGAGTTCACCCGTACTCATCTTCGGCGCTCAACTGGGAAGTTTTTTATCTACATCAATAGATTGCCTCCGATCCCGACATTTCTTGGATTATATAACAGCCGGTTGTGCGGAACTTTGTGAAAAGCTTTGCTGAAGTCAATGTAGGTCATGTCCACAGGTAACTTTTGATCCTTTAGAGCGCACCAGATTTCATGAGCCACTAATCTCAAAACCATGCCGCTTTTCTGAAAGGATCCGGTTTTCATCGAGGCACTCAAATAGCTCTTTCCGAATAATCTATCTAAGATTTTAACAATCACACTGGTTAGGCTAACGGGTCGGTAATTCTCAGGTTTATGTTTCGTACCTGTTTTGGAGACAGGATTTAGTATGGTGCTCCTCCAGTGTTTTAGTAGACGACCCTGAGTTACGGATTGACTGGAGCATATGCTTAAAGGGTTCGCAACGATGTTAGATAATTCCTTTAATAACCTAGGATGCAGTTCATTGGGCTCCGTGGATTTACACATGTCAAGCTTATTTAACAGACCACAGACATCGAGTTCTTTAATGGTTACGCTGTCCCGTGTTTGTGTGGGGAGATTTGTAGTGAGTGACGGGAGGGTGTTTTTATGATATACACACTGCTAAAGTAGTTTGAGAATACTTGAGCCTTATTTTTACATCTAGATGCTTATATCCCTGATATGACGCGTGTAACTTGAGCACTAGAACGCTAGAGCCCTTCCAAGTCGCGATGAGAAGACAGAGGACTAGCTGAAGGAATGTTAATCCAGACAGTGTCAACGACAACCCTAGTCGAGAATACACTCACTTATATATTGATTGTACACACAATTTGACTAATAAATAGGATAAAATGACATATAAAAAATAATCAGTCATGACAGATCACATATTGAGTATAGTTCATGTCAATTGAATATATTATACAGAATAAAATAGCATGCGACAAAAGAAAACAAATACTACACTGAATGATCATCACATTGAATCGGAAAGGAAGCAATTTTAAACAAAGCTCATAATTACTAGATCAATCGAATTTTGTCTTTTCTTTCCATCTTGCCAGTTACGAACGTCGTCTTCCACTTATGGTGAAGCAGTACTACCTCCTCATAGTGCAGGAATATTTCCAATTCTTTTTGTTCTCTGGTTTATATACGAATACAAGAGTTTAGGACATCCTATGAGTTCGTTGGCAATTTTCTCTTCGTACAACCTTCTAAACTTACAGAGGGTCAAGCTTTTCAATACTGAGATTTTGTCTCATTAGTCCCCAGTAACATAAATCTATCCCACATTTTTCTTCTCTTAAGGAAAAGAATGCGAACTTCCCCATTGAGCAATGGTGGAGAGTTTCTCAGCCTCTTTGATGTAGTCCGAAGGATGTGATGAATAAATTTCGAAATACGTCCAAAGCCGTATCGATTGAGGACTCTGGCTCTGTTTTACAATCCACTGACGATGCTGAGTGCATGCTATCTTGGATGTTTGCTTTCAAAACATTAGGTCTGGATTGAGCTCACGCGTGCTGGTTATTGACAGTTATGTGGAAGTCAAAAATCAAAAATGTATGATTAATTTTACCTAGGGGTAGCATGTACTCAAAATTCGTAACATTATAATTATATTGAGTCAGTATAAGATTGAATAAGGATGATTCAGAGTCTGGGTCGTAACTAGTCGCTTCTTTTACATGTTGCACCAGGGCGCATGTAATAACCTCATCAACTAGTTCCTGCTCGAACGAATTGTCTGAGGATTCAGTTCACAGATCTTCCCACTCAACCATGGGCGCATTTAAGTCCGATAGGATTACACACCAACCACTTTATAACCAAGTGTTAAGACTTAAATACCGATGACAATAATTATTGGTAACTTTTGGAATCCATTTAAGGAACAATAAATGCACACACAGAGACTTGCACTGGTGCTGTCCAAATAGGCACAAAAGCACTAATAAAATGGAAATCTCATAAACATAAACTCATTAAAGCACCATTCAAGACAAAGGAGGGAATCACAAGGAATGTTATCCACCCAACAATGATAGAAATGAGGATGATGAAGATCAGTTCTACTCGAGGATGCAATCGATCATAGCAAAGTGTCCCAGGAAGAACCTAACCATCCTGATGGGAGATCTAAACACGATGTTGGAATGGACAACACCAGGCATCAAGATAACATGGGACAACATGGAGTGACTGGGAGAAAGGAACGAGAATGGTGACAGGCTCGCAAGTTTATGTGCATTCAACAAGATGGTTATGGGTGACACAATATTTCCACACAAACACATACACACAATGCTACACGGGTTTAACCGAATCACATTACACAGAACCAGATCGATCATATTTGCATTACTAAATAATTCAGAAGGTCAATGATCGATGGAAGGCATGAGAACCAGGAGATGAGCTGACATAGCTTCAGATCACCACAAGCTGGTGCTTGCCAAGATAAAGCTGAAGCCAAAGAAACACTGGACAACTGGAGAAAGCACTGTAACGGTACATAACAGTGTTCCTTCAGCACGCTATTAAAATCAACCAATTCAGTCACCAAGTAGTCCACAACGTAGGACCAGGCACATATATGCATCGGTCCAAGTTGCCATATCTCATTAGCACAACAAGATGAACACCAAATTCATAGTAGTCACACCAATGGTAGTAATGCATAAAAGAATGGACTGTGTACAAGGATATAGTACAGGAAGAAAGAATTAGTTCGTATAAAGAAAGATATAAAGCAATTTCAATCTCACGGTTTAAGGGAAGACAAATAGTGTATACACCTACGCCATTGTGATCGATTCCGAGCCATATCACCCAGAGTCTCCAACCATTGGTTACCATAGTCACACGAACTCCAACCAAGTAGTCAGCATCTATCAACATGGCTCACATAAGTAGTTGGTGACTTCGAGGACTGATGCCACGTTTTGGTTCGGCCACCCCTAACATTCTTTCAACCATCCCCAACACATTGCGCGTCGTGGTAATCGGTATTCAGGCATATATGGCACGTAGCCCAACCATCTCAGTTGATGAAGATTTACAACCTCATCAACTGATATACCATCATTCCCTAATACCTTGCGTCTAACCTCACTATTACTTACCCGATGATCCCGGCAGATGCGAGCCATATTTCTAAGACATCTGTGGTCAAATACTAGAATGTCTTCTACTCTTGGTGGCCACGTTTCGCAGCCGTAAAGTAGAACAGAACGTGCAGTATACTCGTCCTTAATTGGTAGACGGATATGTCGCCTTCGCCATAGGTAGCGCAAGATGGCAAAAGCCAAATGAGCTTTCTGAATCCGTGCTGATATTTCGTCAGACACCAGCCCATTAGGGCTGATCAGACTTCCAAGATAAGTGAAGTTGTCATTGCGTTCGACTATTTCACTCCTTATCCTTAGTTCAGGTGTTGACGCAGACCAGCCCTGAAGCAACAACTTGCACTTAGAGGGGGGACGGGAAACACATCCCAAACATCCTGGTATTGTTGCTCAGTGCTACCGAACGACTGTACTTTATCAGGGTCTTCACCAAAAAGACTATGTCATCAGAGTACTCTAGGTCGATAAATGAACCTCCTAGTAGGAGATCGATTCCTGAAAATTCAGTCGACCAGAACATTATTTCCATCAGTATGTCTATGACGAAGTTGAACAAAACTTGAGATAGTGAACAGCTTTGTCGTTCACCATAACTCCGACTCAGATGGTATTGATTGATTAAAGAGACTTCATAAAATTTATATACTTCCAAGGTAGATCCTTCAATGACAACACTGTCGAATGCTGAGTTTAAGTCAAGAAAGACCACCATTGTCGGACGCCGATAAGCATGCCTGTATTCTAAAATCTGACGAATGGTGAATATGTAGTCGATGCAGCCATGACGAGGCTCAAAGCCAGACTGATTTTCTCGTGTTTACAGTTCACGAGTCTTTGTCAGGTACCCAATAATCATTGAGGCTAGTATTT